TAAAATAGCAACTAAAAAAGTCTGTGTAGCTTAGTTCTTGATTAAAATCAGCAAGAGAATTTGTAACATGAGTTAGTAGCCCCCTGAGGCTGACGCTGAATGGGTCTAATATTAAGAGCCTCTATCTAATTAACACTTGGAAAAAAGCTTTATGCCAAGGATAGATCACTTCATTGGTGGCATGTCTTGATACCATGGCCTCATGAATAAATTACTGTCTGGTTTTTAGTTGGAGATTTTGTGTGTGGTAATAAGAGTGAGCAGAAAAGGGGATAGCAAATTAATAGGGTACCACAAGCATCCAACATTCTGGTCACAAAATATATTAGGCACAGACCTGAAACCAGGGCCTCACTATGTACCATCAACCTGTGGGAATCTGCTCCTCTGCCTTCTTTTATTAAATACTAGTGGCCTAGTGCACGAAATTCGTGCACAGGGGGTGGAGGGGTTCCCTCAGCCCAGCCTGCACCTTCTCCAATCGGGGACCCCTTAGGGGATGTCTGACCACCAGGATCGGGCCTAAACCGGTGGTCAGCCATCCCTCTCACAATCTGGGACTGCTGGCTTCTAACCCTAACCCCTCCTGCCTGTCTGATCACCCCTAATCTCTCTGCCTGCCTGCCTGATCGCCCCTAACTGCCTCTGCCTGCCTGCCTGATCACCACCGACTGCCCTCCCCTGTCGGCCTGTTCTTGCCCCCAACTGCCTCTGCCTGTCTGATCACCCCTAATTGCCCTCCCTTGCTGGCCTGATCTTGCCCCAAATTTGTGCACAGGGTGGGGGGATTCCCTCAGCCCAGCCTGCACCCTCTCCAATCGGGGACCCCTTGGGGGATGTCCGACCGGTTGGACATCCATCTCGCAATCTGGGACCACTGGCTCCTAACCGCTCACCTGCCTGCCTGCCTGATTGCCCCTAACTGCCTCTGCCTCCCTGCCTGATCACCCCTAACTAACCTCCCCTGCCAGGCTGATCTCACCCCCAAGTGCCCTCCCCTGCCGGCCTGGTTGCCCCCAACTGCCCTCCCCTTCT